AAAAAAAAAAAACACACAAAAAAAACACAGTTTTTTAGCCTTTAAAAAAGGCTAAAAGAAGCAATGTTAAAGTAGAACTATCCATTCACTTTCTCAATGACTTTTTCCAAAGCCTTCCTATCTTTAATAAGAATTAGTGGATTTCAGAAATTTAAATAATGCCAGTAATAACAGGAACCCTAGTAACAAGTACTACAACTACCGCTATGACAGGCACCGCCACCACCATTTTGTTTCTCAATTTACTCATCCAGGGGCGCCTGGCTGGCTTAGTCAGTGGATCATGTGACTCCTGATCTTGGGGTTGTAAGTTTGAGCCCCATGCTGGGTGTAGAGATTACTTAAAAATAAAAAAAATAAAATAAATAAATTTTAATTATCCATCTGAATACATCCCTTCCTGGGGGACTTTGTATGTAAACATGGTTTATAAATGCTTGAAATCGAAACATTTTCAAGTCTGATGGAAATCAAAGTTCTAAAATTATATTTCAAGTACTGATTTTTTTTCCCCCTCTCTCTACCCTTGGCGGCCAGCGGCTTAAATATGTCAGACTTTTTTTTTTTTTAAGATTTTATTTATTTGACAGAGACAGAGAGAGCACAAGCAGAGGGAGCGGAAGGCAGAGGGAGAAGGAGGCTCCCCGCAGAGCAGGGGGAGCCCGATGCGGGGCTCAATCCCAGGACTTTGGAATCATGACCTGAGCCGAAGGCAGTTAGTTGCTTAACCAACTGAGCCACCCAGGTGCCCTGTCAGACTTCGTTTTAACTATTTTCCCCAGACAGGGAACTTACTTTTATGCTTTGGGTAGATAACATCGAAACCCGGCAAGGGCATTACCACATCATGGATGGAGTAATTATTAACATCTTCTTCATCAATGTAGGTGGCTGTAGCTGCCAAGTCACAAATAGAGAAATTAAGAAAAATTATGAAAATAGGTAATATTTGCATGAGCCTGATCTTCTAAAATTATACACATCTAAGAAGTCAGAAGTGCAAGCTGACATGGCTGAGTGGCCTACAACAAAGCTTAAAGAAATGAAGTTAGAGATCTTTTTGTCTTTTCTGCTCTACCCAAGAAATAAAAATCATGGACTGAGAACAAGTGGAAAGTAAAAAAAAAAAAAAAAAAATTTATTTCTCAGCTGCACCCTCAATTTTTTAGAATGCTTTTTTTTTTTTTTAAAGATTTTATTTATTTGAGAGAGAGAATGAGAGAGAGAGTGCATGAGAGGGAGAAGGGTCAGAGGGAGAAGCAGACTCCCTGCTGAGCAGGGAGCTCGATGGGGGACTCGATCCCAGGACCCCAGGATCATGACCTGAGCTGAAGGCAGATGCTTAATCTATTGGGCCACCCAGATGCCCCAAACTAGATATATATTTTCATTAAAGACACAGATCCAAACTGTTCAATCTGAGTTTACAATGTCTTTCCATTTCGACCTTACTAGACATCTCTCTCTCTCTCTTAAGTAGTGGCCAGGCTGGATTTTAAGCACCAGTGTCAAACAACTCTAGTTGGGTCAATAATGAGGATATCTGCCTTTTTACCTCCTTTGAGAACAAGGTCACCTGGAACGGGCTTCAGTCCGTACTCTTCTATTCTCTTGCTTACCATGTTATTCCATACATAGCTTTGGTAGCTATGAATATACATTAAGCGATTATTTCTTGGTATCTGGAAGGAAGAAAAAAATGGGGAAGGAAAAAAATACATATTCTGAATATTAAAAGTACTGTACGTTCCAAGATATCTCACTTGTTTAGTGGTGACCCCAGGATAAGCAGCTCATACCTTGTCATTTTTCTAATAGCTGACGGAAACAGTGACTGACGTGCAGCACCCAGTATGAGAGACGGAACCCCTCTGACTCTGACTACGGGTGTTCAGTCAGCTCCGAATGCAGCGGATGCCATGCATTCATGCAAATAAAGCAACGCTGGGAGAACCTCTACCCTGAATCAAAGACACAGTGCTCAAACTGTAGAAATTTACACATCACTTACAGAGCAAACAGTGTTTTCTTCCTGATAATTCCTTGGAAGGAGAAAACCTAGATGACTGAATGGACAACTAATTTCACGTAGCAAAAATTCTGCTTTTTTTGTTTGCCTGGGGAAGCGTAAGTAAGACTGAAGTTGAAGAGTTAAACTTCAGTCTATTCTGGGTATAGATATCTGAATAATAGCACGTGCCAAGATGGGACCCACTGTTGAACCAATGAAGAAACCAAAGAAACGCGATCATTTAAACCACTTCTCGTGCAACCTCTTACTTCGGTAGGTTACAGTGCTGATGCTGGAGAATGATCAAGAAATAACCTCTAAGATGGATTGTGAATTTCTAAGTACCAAGATGCTTAATTTAAATTTCTTTGCAGATAATATTTTCCACTTTAATGCTTTTCTCATGCCATCAATGTTAATAATTATTGCCAACATTTCCCCCACCCACCCACCACCCCCATCGCCATTCAGGGTACAAACAAGGATCACTCAGGTAACACGGCACTCAGAGATCACCAAAGGATCCTTATTTCACTTTTGCTCTTTCAAAATTTAGTAAAATACTTAAAGATAAAATTTAAAAAGCATTAAGCCACCTCAAGTCATTCGCCTGACTTCACAAATAGCACTCACTATGCCAAATGCAGAGACTATATTCTTCATTCCATATTTTGAAAGTCCTCGAAGCAGCTGCCCTTCCACACACCTTTTGACAGGAAGTTTTCTGAGGGCAGCAGCTGGGTCTTTGGTCTTCGCCCACTCTTCCCTGCACTTAACCAAGTAGCCCTTTTCGGCTGGGGGAAAAAAAAAGCTGTGATTGAAACAATTTATCGAATAGACAGATTTCCATAACTTAATGGGCTTCCTAGAGAACACAAAATTAGAAAATGCTCTTTGTAATACAGGTACTCTGAACAGCTTCTGTTCACCTGAGAATACCCATCAGAATGTGAAAAGGCGGGACAGGCAGAGTGTACTGAACGAGCCGGCTTTGTCCACCTACTGCCACCCCAGGATTTTTTTTTCTTTCTTTTAGATTTTATTTATTTATTTGACAGAGACACAGCAAGAGAGGGAACATAGGCAGGGGAAGTGGGAGAGGGAGAAGTAGGCTTCCCGCTGAGCAGGAAGCCCGATGAGGGGCTCGATCCCAGGACGCTGGGATCATGACCTGAGCTGAAGGCAGACGCTTAACAACTGAGCCACCCAGGTGCCCCCACCCCAGGATTTAAAGACCATTACTGTTCCATGATCACGGCTGATTCAACACAAGACAAAACCCAGGTAGTCCTTTCTTCCTTCTCTTTTTCTACTGTGTTGGCAAATTTAATAGGCCATTCTCCTTTATTAGACAACTTTACCTCTTTTAATTTGCAAATGAATAACTACCCAAAGGGCATAATTGTTTTGATAATTTGTGGTTTTTTTTTTTTTTTTTGAGAGGCTCCATGCCCAGCACGGAGCCCAATGTGGGGCTTAAACTCACGACCCTGTGATCAAGACCTGGGCTGAAATCAAGAGTCGGACACTTAACTGACTGAGCCACCCAGTGCCCTTGTACAGTAGTATTTAAATCTTTTTTTATACAGTACGAATACAGAGGTACTTTCTGGGAAGTTTTTTTTACAAATTCTTCAAATACCTCAACATTTTTTGGCCCAGTTTTTACATTCTATTACACTATGCTTTAACAAATTAACCACAAGTGAAATGTGTCTGGATTCCTGCATGTTCAGAGATTTAGTAGTGCATGGGGAAAAGGAAATAAACGTATTAATTTATGAAAGAATAAATTAGATGAAAACAGGATATAAATTATAAATCTCAAATATATAATTTATGAAAAAATGAACTATCCTTTCTATTTTACTGTAAAAACAATCTTTGGGCGCCTGGGTGGCTCAGACGGTTAAGCGTCTGCCTTCGGCTCAGGTCATGATCCCAGGGTCCTGGGATCGAGTCCAGCATCGGGCTCCCTGGTCCTTGGGAGCCTGCTTCTCCCTCTGCTTCTCTCTCTCTCTGTCTCTCATGAATAAATAAATAAAATCTTTAAAAAAAAAAAAAATCTTTAAAATTC